CCCTAGAGTTTACTGTCGCCTCCTCTCCGCCCGACCTTCGAGTTCAGCCTTTCCCCTTCCTTGAGTTCAGCCTTAAGTTCAGCCTCCAATACTCCACTTTGAATTCAGCCACCTTGATCTCATCGATTCCCTTTTCTTAAATCATTCACCTAGATCTGAGCGCTCTCCAAAGGAACTTGCCATCGCAACGAGGATCTAAATCTTCAATCTTTTAGAGGTCAGTCATGTGAGAAATGGCGAATCTTTTCTTTCCTTAAGAAAAGATTTCTTTTTTAATTGAATCCGCGCTCATTTTCGTTAAATTCTGATTCTTGTACACATTGGCTATTAATGTATGAAAAAACATGAGAATTTCTGGAGCGATCGAGGATGTGGAAGTGAGCGAGAAGACGTTAAAACTAGAACTAACACGCCGCGGGTTAGAACTAACACTCTCAACATGTTAGAACTAACACACTCAGCGTTTTTGAGCGATCGAGGATGTGGAAGTGAGAGAGAAGGCGTTAAAACTAGAACTAACACACCGCGTGTGAACTAACACGCCGCGTGTTAGAACTAACACGCCGCGTGTTAGGACTAACACACTCAGCGTTTTGGAGCAATCGAGGATGTGGAAGTGAGCGAGAAGGCATTCTCGGTTCTTTCGAACCGAGTTGGATCGCCGGAGGGGTGGGCACCTTTGCGTAGACACAGGGAGGCTATCCCGATTTTGTTTGATGCGCTCAGCTGGTGTGATTCACCTGGATGCCAGGTGATTATATATACTTGAGTGAAAAAATGCTAGCTATAGCTGATTCATCCTCTACAAGATTATATATTGGTGATTGTGGAGGAGGATGGAATTCAGAGCGCCATCGCTCACTGTAAGCGCTCCTTCAGTTGGGGTAACCTCACCGGATTCGAATCAGAATACCCCGTCGCTGTAATTAATTAGAAATTAATTATTTCTTTATGATATTAATGAACGCGTTTTGTTTTGTGCAGGTTGTGATTTGGGTCTGGTGCGGTCGAGGAGCGATCCCGGCACCGAGCGATGTGATTAATTGAGGAGAAACTAAGTAGAAGTCGAAAAACTGTTCTTTTTCTTTATCATGAGACCTGTAATTAAATCCATCATTTCGCAATATTCTTAATCTCGAGATCAATGTAGGGGCCAATCATGAGACCTATAATTAAATCCATCCATCTTTGATTAGTCTCCGAGGCGGTGAGTTAGGACTAACACAAAAGTCCAAGAGCCATAAATTAGAACTAGAACTAACACACGGTGTATTAGAACTAACACGCCGTAGGTTAGAACTAACACGTGGTGAGTTAGGACTAACACAAGAAAGGCTGTTACTTAAAAAAAAAAGAACAAGCATAAATTTTGCAATTCACTAGAATTTTAGTGGTATCACTTCCAATCTCGCCGGCATTTCTACATGTTTACAACGTCATTAACTTGCTTAGTTTGATTCAATTTATCAAAGAAGTTCTATTCTTTTAAAATGCTTGCTGACGGTTGCGCAACAAAAGCTCAAATGGATAATACTCTTCCAATATGCAAGTATTAATTTAAGTTGTGAGCGGGACCAAACGCTGTTCAATGTCATCCAACTGCTAAGATTCACTGGATTTTGATTCTTCTTCACTCTTGTTACCTTTCACTGCGGGTTAGTTCTAACTCACCGCGGGTTAGTTCTAACTCACTGCGTGTTAGTTCTAGTTCTAATTCATGATTTTTGGGCTCTTGTGTTAGTTCTAACTCACCGCGTGTTAGTTCTAATCTACGGTGTATTAGTTCTAACTCACCATATGTTAGTTCTAACCCACGGCGTGTTAGTTCAACCAATATTCTCTCTCTATCTAAAGCAAATACTTAATAGGTATCAAAAACTATAACTGTTTGATTCAATTACAGAGGTTCTTTTACTCCTTAGACAAGGGTATGAGCACAAAAACAAACAAACACAATAATCTACATTATCATCAATTGATGACTTTCCCTTCCTCCATAAAAAAACATTTAACCATTCAAAATGAAGCTAAAGAAGCCTTCAACTCCTCTAACATCTTCTTCAGTGCTGGTTGATTCAATGTCATATTTCCAAATTCAATGCTCGAGTATTTCTTGTACACTGCTCTCAATTTACTCTCAGGTGTAGCTGAGTGAGACTTAAGCAAAAATGCTCGAGTATTTCTTGTACACTGCTCTCAATTTACTCTCAGGTGTAGCTGAGTGAGACTTAAGCAAAATTTGAGAGCAATCCCTGCACAATGGCTCTCAATTTACTCTCAGGTGTAGCTGAGTGAGACTTAAGCAAAATTTGAGAGCAATCCCTGCACAATGTAGCAAAATTGTATTAAAAAAAATTTGCAGAACATAATTTGGACTTATACAAGTTGTTAAGAAAAATTACAGCAATTGGGGCTCAAAGAAGCCAGTATAGTGCTTGAGGGATTCGGTCAAAAGAGGACTCTTCTTTAATGTGCATCGAGCTACATAGACTGCTGAAGCCACAACCATTGAAGGAGAATACATGATCATAGAGTACTGTATCAGACCCAACTCAGCAAAGAAGTAGACCATATGCTCCATCTATGACAATAAATTGAAAAGCAAATGAGTAATTTTAGCACTTCAAACTAAATTGAAGATTGAAGATGAAGAATATGATAGGCGTTAATTTTTACCTCTTTATCGCACGTCGCAGCTTTTATGAAGCGAACAAGGAACACATACAGAGTAGGAACAATGAGACTCCATTCAAGCCTGTTGAGAATTGATTTCTCCATGGCCAAGATCTGTTCTTGGCTGTAAGCTCGGTCTGATATGCATATGAAATCCTCTACCTATATGCCAATAAAATGCACAGTTTGTTTATCAGCTAGATGAAAATATAACAACAATTTGCAAGGAAAAAGCACAACAAATTTACATTGCATGGTAGAAAAAAATCAGGTATAGAGTATAAGTGATTAATAGTGTTGGGTGGAAAATTTGTAGTAAAAAGAAAAATTAAAAGAAATATATTTAATTTGTATTCTCTCAATCTCAATTACAATTTGGATTTTGATTATAAAATAGAGGAGAATTTATCTGAATTCTCCCTTTTGTTTAATTCTGGGTTTTTCACGGTGGCGATGGAATGCCTCCCTCGAATGCTCGCGTCGAGTTTGCTTTCCGTTGGCGATCCGAACGTCTTGTTTCACTGGAACGTGGTTGATTCCTCTTGATTAATATTGAGGATGACTTGCATGGTAAGTTTGAAAATAACTCTTAACGAGTTTTAGAACTCAGAGCGAGTTTAAACTCTGTAACAGAGTTGATTTGAACCGAAAATCGATTAATAAGCCAAGGATAAAAGCTCCATGGAATGCTCTAGAGATTGAGCGAAGACCCCCTTTTCTGATCTCCAGATCCGAGAAATCTCTAAGATCCAAAGATGATCTTCTCAAAAGATTACTGATCTCTCCTTTTGCGATCTGTTTTTGATACTAAAAGCTGATCCCTTAACTCAATTGAGTTTCTGATATTTATAAGGGATTAAGGGTGGTAACTACCCCCTTAATCCGCTCCTAAGTGGGGCGAAAATCCCTCAAATCGTGGGAAAAACGGTTCCTGGAACTGTTCAGTTTGTGTTTGAACGAGTCAAACACCGAAAATGGCGTTCTGGGCTCGAACTCTGCGTTTTAGACATCAAACACAGAGTTGGGTCTGTTTTAGGCTGAAAACGCACAGGTCGCGCAGCGTTGTGAACTCTGAAACGCAGAGTTGGGCTCTGTATGAACTCTGTATTTTTGACCTGGGACGCAAGGTTGGGCTCTGCATGAACTCTGTGTTTTGAGTCCACGAACTCTGCGTTTTGACTCTGGAATGTAGCCACGACCTCTGCGTTTTGAATCTCAAATGTGGTCACAACCTCTGCGTTTTGAGTTTAGAACGCAGGCATGACCTCTGCGTTTTGAATCTTGGATATAGAGGTAAGCCTCAGGCGGACTCGGTGAGCTTCAGGCTAAGTCTAATGTTCAGGCGAAGTGCAATCTCACAGACGGACTTCAGAACATAACTTGCCGCGAAGAACATGTCATAACTTTCAAACCGTAAGTCGGAATAAAACGAATTATATATGAAAATCGGCTATCTCGACGAGACGGAGCCGACCAAACTAACCACATAGGGTTTGGTTTACTTCCTCCATTTTGCCAAATTCCTTCCGGTTTGAGAGATATCTCGCATTTTGATATGAAAAAACCGTCAATTTGTAGTCTCTTTTGCTAGAGCGTTGCAAAGATCGTCACCTTAATTGTAACATTCGTCTTTGTTCCTTGAAAATATGAGAGTCATCAGATTGTAACTCCCGATGTTGATTGTGAAGGCTGTTGAATTAGAGCTTTCATTGGTTGTTGTAAAGGTCGTCAGATTGTAACCTTCTATCATTGGTGTTTGATGAGGATCAGCTATATGTTGTAATTTTTAGACAGCCTACAAATAGTGCCATAGAATCAGTGAACCAGAGGAACAATTTACTGACAGTTATAGAGTAATCTATAAAGTAATATAAGTGCAACAAATTTACATATGCATAAAATTATCAGGTATAATTAATGGGGAAAAGTTTGAGATAACTACAATAATCTAAGATTCATATTACAATAGAATCAACCAACCAGAAGAAATACACAGTACACTTTACTGGCAGTCGTGGGCTTATTTATACTGTAAAATAGTGATAGCAATAACTTGTTAGTTCTAACATCGCTCCAAAACGCTGAGCATGTTAGTTCTAACACGCGGCATGTTAGTTCTAGTTTTAACACATTCTCGCTCACTTCCACATCCTTGATCGCTCCAAAACGTTGAGTGTGTTAGTTCTAACACGCTAAGTGTGTTAGTTCTAACCCGCAACTTGTTAGTTCTAACATGTGGCATGTTAGTTCTAGTTTTAACACATTCTCACTCACTTCCACATCCTCGGTCGCTCAAGAAATTCTCATGTTTTTTATACATTAATAGCCAACGCGTACAAGAATCAGAATTTAACGAAAATGAGCACGGATTCAATTAAAAAAGAAATCTTTTCTCAAGGAAAGAAAAGATTTGTCATTTCTCATAGGACTGACCTCTAAAAGATTGAAGATTTAGATCCCCGTTGTGATGGCGAGTTCCTTTGGAGAGCACTTAGATCTAGGTGAAGGATTTAAGAGAAGGGAATCGATGAGATCGAGGTGGTCAAATTCAAAGTGGAGTCTTGGAGGCTGAAGTTAAGGCTGAACTCAAGGAGGGGTGTAAGGACCGTGAAATTTTGATACTAGTTAAAATAATTTTCTGGTATTTTAAAATATTTAATTATGATTTTAAAAGAGTATTTGTATTTTTTTTGAATTTCTATAATTTTCTATGATTTAAAGTCTAAGTTTTATATTTATTTAAATGATATTAATATTTATTAATTTATTTTATGCGGTGAAAATTTATGAAAATTATTTGTTACATTATCGGTATTATTACGTATCACTTTGAATAATACGTTGTATTATTTTTTATTATCACGTATATTTTTGTATAATACGTTGTATTATTAATTACGTATTATTTGTATAATTTGCTGTATTATTTCTACTGTTACATATTATCTGTCGTATTAGTATAACGAATACGTTTTACTGTGTATATAATTATCCCATAATTATTGGATTTTAAATGTAAGTAATTATATTTTATTTATTAATTATTTTCTGTTTAATTGTACAATATGAGTATATTTTGACTATTTTGTTTTAACTGTTGTAATAGCATAACATGTACGTTTTTAATTGTAGATAATTATTATGTAATTAGTCTAATTTTTAAATACCCGTAACTATTTTATTTTAATTATTTTTGTTATTTAAATGGGAAAAATATGTCCAGGCCCCAAAAGTGGGAACTTCGTGTGACTATCCCCCCTGTACTTTGCCCCATGTGGAATAGCCCCAAAAGTTAAGCTTTAATGTTTTAAGCTCCCTCCATGTCAGCTTTATACTAAAAGCAGATCGTATTTTGCAAAAAAACCGAAACTGCCCTTCTCTTTCTTCCCCAGACGAGTCCTGGTCCCGAACAACAGAAGTCACTTCTCATTAATGCGATATGATGGGGAAAATGGAGGGAAATTTTCCCCTTTTTTTACTCCATCATGAGCAATAACTAGTTAGTTCTCCATTACTCCTCCTCCTCAGACCAAAATTCTCTTCATAACTCTCTCCATTACTCTTACTATCCCTTCAAAATGGCTGAAAAGGACATCATCTGCATTATCTCTTCGCAGTATAAAGCGGTATTCTTAAAGATTAATTCTTCAACCACCATCTTGGATCTCAAGTTTGATGCGGCAGAGAGGTTAGATCTTCCATACGAGTCATTAATTTTGGCATACGAAGATCAAACAGTTGGAAGCTTAAAATTTCTCATTGAGAACGATGGTGATCTGACGTCTATGGTGGAGCATTGCCACAATCTTGGACTGAAAGAGGTTCACGTGCAAGCTTTTAAAGAAGGAGATGATTCTTCGAATAAACAGGAAAACGAGCAAGTCCGACAAGACATGTAGGTTAACTGTAAAATCAATTAACTTAAGTTCTAATCGTCTTCTTGTTAGTTCTATACTAGGTTTAACTGGACTTCAGTTCTAATGTTTTATTTGTCATTAAGCAGTTCTTTGTTATGCTCCATACTAGAGTTCTAATGTTTCATTTGTTAGTTCTAATCACTATTTTGTTAGTTCTACTAGAGTTATTGCTAGTTCCACTATAGTTCCCATATTGTTAGTCCTAATTGTTATAAATTAGATATAACATGGTATAAATTAGACAATGTAGGTATAAAATAGAACTAACAAGCCATCAGTTAGAACTGACACTAACACACAACTAACCTTTAATGGCTATATTGTTTGTTCTAATAGCTATTATGTCAGTTCTAATCAAGGCACTGTTATCTCTAATGGTTATATTATTAGTTCTTTCTAGTTCTAATTGATTCTAACAACAAGCAATTGTCGTTTTTGCTTTTTAGCTTTTGCTATTATCTGTTGATACTTCTACTATTTGTGCAGTTTGAACTCAAAAAGTGTAGACTGTGGCCCGTCGGCGTTGTGGACCACAAGTGTTCCAGATAAGAATCCCAATGACAATCCTTCCGGAGATGATGTCATGACGATTGATGACATGATTAGCAGATCAGAGAGGATTCCTGCTTGGTGGCACACAGCTTTAACCGGTGAGGGACAACGATTTGAAAGTGCGAAGGAGTTAAGATTGGCCTTGCTATACTACTCCATGGCAAAAAAATTCGAATACGAGTTTGGGAAGAATGAACCGAAGCGTATTCGAGTGTTTTGTCGGTTTAAGGCAGCAAAAAATTGTCCGTGGATGTTATTTGCCTCTCCACCGAAAAATGATAATAGACTTGAAATCAAAAGGTTTGTGGACAATCACAGTTGTGGGCAGCATGGCAATAATGCTGGTCAATCTAGAGCCTCAAGGCGATTCATTGCTACCCAATTACAACCCACGTTAAAGGTTCGACCGGATATACGGCCTATTGACGTTCAAAAGGAGTTTCTAAGCTCGTATGAGATTAGGGTCGATTATAGTAAGATTTGGTGGGGTAAAGAAAGAGCACAAGAGAAATTATATGGTGATGCCCGTGAGTCCTACGATCAATTACGATGGTAAATAGAAGTTAATATCTAACAAAAGACAAACTAATTTCCTTTATGTGACGTTGATTATACTAATTTTTTAATGTTGGTACTAACGCTTAATCTTCA